CTCATATTTTGTATTTTAAATACGTAATGGCGGTACATGTATTCCGTTACTCCCCAACACTGCTTATAGGTTTTTACATGCATCCATTTGCATACTAAAAAGCTGTATGTATTCTATGTTATGCACCCTCCTCTTGTGTTTGTTTCCTCATTTCCTTTTTCCTCTCTCACAGATCTCTCACAGTGTAACAGAGTAATTGATAAACTGTCCTGCCTCTTTGTAAAGGAGGCTGAGAAAAGGGTCTCTTTCCCTCTCCCAGACCAAGCAGCTCTTCGGCTTCCTCAGATCGATCCCTGCCTCTTTGTGGGGATTTACTTCCTCTGCTTTTGACATGAATGTTCTGGTTGTCTGTTTTTTCACAGCTTTATTTGCGTGTTTAATGTTCTTACCCCATTAGCTTAGGGAGGGAAGTTCTGGGTTCTACATTTCACTGAGTGGTTGGTGCAGACAACTTCTACGTTTAGGTCATTCTGCTTCCTGTTGAACTAAAGGAACCTTGTTAGTAAACCTAGTAAAGCTTCATCTTCTCAACACTTGACAACATGTAAATAAAGCCAAGCATTAGCCGGTCACATTCACATAACTTTATCCGTTGATTTTAACATAGAATACTTTTTAACCTGAGTAGTCGTTATAGCCTCATGCGTTAGTCTTTATTTTATTTTATGCATCATGCATCATGAGCCAGATTAATCCCCCTCTCTTTCTTACATCTCTCCCTGTCTCTGCAGTGAGAATGGCAGAGCTTCTTTCCATCAAAAGGGAGCTGACAGTGATCAAGGTTCAGATCGATGGCCTGCTGGACTGCGTAGACAAGATGGACAGACAGAGGAAGGACGGCTCAGGTAGAGACAAAGAACTGTGCTGAAAATAATAATAATAAAATTTTATCCTAACGCATTAATTGCAATTATTTTTAAAATTAGAGCTGCTGTATTTAGTTTGTGTGTGAAGCAATATTTCTGTGTGGAGTTTGTATACGCAGCCCGTGTTTGCATGGGTTCTGTCTAGATACTCCAACTGCCACTCACAATCCAAAGACATGCAGTTAGTGGGGTTAGGTTAATTGGTGATTCTATATTGCACATAAGTGTGAATGCCAGATTGGTGACCTAAGCCTAAGATAGGCTCCAGCCCCTCTGCAACCCTGATAAAGATAAGGAGAAGAGAATGGATGGACGGATAATTAGCTTCACCCTTACTTCCATGTCTTCCGGATGAGTCATCTGCTACTGAAGACCTTGACTTTTCACTTGACTGCTACACGTATTGCTTCC